CCCGACGATCAAAGCGGGTGGGCGCCCGAGCCGGCGCCCGGGCGCCGGAAAATCGAGTTCCGAGGCGGCGCCGGAAAAAGGCCATTCCAATACACATTTTTCTTTCGAAAATGCTGAATTTCTGCTTCCGGCGCCCGGGAGGCCGTCCGGGCAGATTCCGGAGCTCGGGCCGGCACCCGGCCCGGCCGGCACCCGGCCCGGCTCCCGGGCCGGACGCCCGGGCAGTTCCGATCGCGCCGAAAAGAGGCCATTTCAATACACATTTTTCCTTCGAAAATGCTGAATTTCTGCTTGCGGCGCCCGGGAAGCCGTCCTGGGCCGATTCTGGAGCGGCTTTGGGCCGGACGCCCGAGCCGGCGCCCGTACGTGGTGCTTCTCTGCTTCTGGCGCCTGCGCAGCTTCCCGAGCCGCTTCTGGAACCATATCTGGGCCGGTCCAGCGATAGGTTTCCTGGATGTGCTGAACCATCCAACTTTCTGAGACTTCTGCGTCTCAAGGATCGGGAGAGAAGACATGGAGGAACAACAAGCAACGTCGCTATGAACGCTTGGCTGCCACAAGCCAGTTCTACTTACTTGGACTACTACTACCGTTACCACTACTACGAGTGCTACAGCCGCAACAACAATATCATCAACTGCTGCTACTACAACTACTCATCCTTCCTCCCCCTCCTCCCCCTCCCTTCTCCTCCTCCCCCTCCCTATCTCTCTCATCTCCCCCTCCTCTTCCTTTTCCTCTCCCTCTGAGATGCGGGGCATGCGCAAGGCGATTGCGAAGGCGATGTGCCGTCCGAGCTATGGATGTTGCAGTTCCTCGGAAGAGGTGGTGGCCAAACCTTCTTGGGCGGGATATCAGGGTGAGGGAATATCGGATCCCGCATGCCAGAAAATTCCCCCATGATGGGGTGTGTTATCCAGATGGATGCATGTGTCATGTGGAAGCATGGCGCACGAGGGTAAAATGATTGTTGTTGTTGTTGTTGTTGCTGTTGTTGTTGTTGTTGTTGTTGTTGTTGTTGTTGTTGTTGTTGTTGTTGTTGTTGTTGTTGTTTGTTGTCGTCGTCCCACCGCGAACCCCGCGACCCACCCGCGACCCGACACCGCGCCCCCCGACCCACCCGCGACCCACCCGCGACCACCCCGCGCCCCACCCGCGACCCAACCCCGCGACCCACCCCGCGACCCACCCCGCGACCCAACCCCGCGACCCACCCCGCGACCCACCCGCGACCCACCCCGCGACCCACCCCGCGACCCACCCGCGACCCACCCGCGACCCACCCGCGTCCCACCCGCGACCCACCCCGCACCCCACCGCGACCCACCTTCGACCCAAACCACGTTGAAGGTACAAACCAACATTTTCGGCGCCTGCGGCGGGCTTTTTTAGAATTCCTTCCAGGCGGAGAGCCCGCGACCCACCCCGTGACCAACTCGCGACCAACCCGCGATCCAAACCACGTTCAGGGTACAAACCACATTTTTCGGCGCCTGCGGCGGGCATCTTGCATTCGTTCCCGGTGGAGAACCCGCGGCCCACCCCGTGACCAACTCGCGACCAACCCGCGATCCAAACCACGTTCAGGGTACAAACCACATTTTTCGGCGCCTGCGGCGGGCATCCTTTGCATCCGTTCCCGGTGGAGAGCCCGCGGCCCACCCGCGACCCAAACCACGTTCGGTGTACAAACCAATTTTTGTTGGCGCCTGCGGCGGGTTGCTTTTGCATTCCTTCCAGGTGGAGGTGGAGAGCCGGCGGCGGCCTAAACCGCGTTCACTGAACAAACCAATGCCGCACAAGCGCGGCGGCGGATTTTCGCATGCCGTCTGAGCCCGCAAGGACCTCTTCAAAACCCGCGCATCCACGCCAGCCCATCCAGCAACTTTGCCCTGGCGGGTTGCTTTGATCAGAGAAGGCGGGAAGCATTAAGTGGAAAGAAGGACTGCGTTGCAGTAGTCTTGGGAAAGGAGGGGGAGGCAGGGGGAGTAAACAGGGGACGAGGAGAACGCGGCAGAAGAGAGGATGTAAGGATAATGTGGAGAGAGACAAGGAGGAGGAGCAGGAGGACGAGGAGGGGGGGGAGGGGGAGGAGGGGAAGGAGGAGGACGAGGAGGGGCAGGAGGGGGGGATGATGACTAGCCGGCCGCTCTTGCGGTGATTCGGGAGTTTCTGTATATAGAAGAAGGTGCGTGTGTTGTTGCGGAGGGTGATGAAGGTTCAGCCCTCCTCCTCCTCCTCCTCCGCCTCTTCCTCCCTTTTCCTCCTCCTCCTCCTCCTCCTCCTCCTCCCCTCCTCCCCTCCTCCTCCCCTTCTCTTGCCTCCGTCTTCCTCCTCCGGCCCCTCCCCCGCAGCTCCATCATTATTATCGCCTCCTCCTCCACCCCGCAGCTCCATCATCTTCTCCTCCTCCTCCTCCTCCTCCTCCTCCTCCTCCTCCTCCTCCTCCTCCTCCTCATTCCTCCTCTGGGCACCTCCCCCGGGGCGCGGATCCACCGGATCTGTCCGGATCTGTCGGAAACGGTGCCGGAGGCCGCTCTGGGCTCCTCTGGGCACCTCCCCCGGGGCCGGTTTTGTGAGGATGTCTCAAGCGAGGGCGCCGGTTTGGGATTCGTCACCGGATCCAGCGGATCCAGCGGATCCACCGGATCTGCCCGGAAACGGTGCCGGAGGCCGCTCTGGGCTCCTCTGGGCACCTCCCCCGGGGCCGGTTTTGTGAGGATGTCTCAAGCGAGGGCGCCGGTTTGGGATTCGTCACCGGATCCACGGATCCAGCGGATCCACGGATCTGTCCGGAAACGGTGCCGGAGGCCGCTCTGGGCTCCTCTGGGCACCTCCCCCGGGGCCGGTTTTGTGAGGATGTCTCAAGCGAGGGCGCCGGTTTGGGATTCGTCACCGGATCCAGCGGATCCAGCGGATCCACCGGATCTGTCCGGAAACGGTGCCGGAGGCCGCTCTGGGCTCCTCTGGGCACCTCCCCGGGGCCGGTTTTGTGAGGATGTCTCAAGCGAGGGCGCCGGTTTGGGATTCGTCACCGGATCAGCGGATCCAGCGGATCCACCGGATCTGTCCGAAACGGTGCCGGAGGCCGCTCTGGCTCCTCTGGGCACCTCCCCCGGGGCCGGTTTTGTGAGGATGTCTCAAGCGAGGGCGCCGGTTTGGATTCGTCACCGGATCCAGCGGATCCAGCGGATCCACCGGATCTGTCCGGAAACGGTGCCGGAGGCCGCTCTGGGCTCCTCTGGGCACCTCCCCCGGGGCCGGTTTTGTGAGGATGTCTCAAGCGAGGGCGCCGGTTTGGGATTCGTCACCGGATCCAGCGGATCCAGCGGATCTGTCCGGAAACGGTGCCGGAGGCCGCTCTGGGCTCCTCTGGGCACCTCCCCCGGGGCCGGTTTTGTGAGGATGTCTCAAGCGAGGGCGCCGGTTTGGGATTCGTCACCGGATCCAGCGGATCCAGCGGATCCACCGGATCTGTCCGGAAACGGTGCCGGAGGCCGCTCTGGGCTCCTCTGGGCACCTCCCCCGGGGCCGGTTTTGTGAGGATGTCTCAAGCGAGGGCGCCGGTTTGGGATTCGTCACCGGATCCAGCGGATCCAGCGGATCCACCGGATCTGTCCGGAAACGGTGCCGGAGGCCGCTCTGGGCTCCTCTGGGCACCTCCCCCGGGGCCGGTTTTGTGAGGATGTCTCAAGCGAGGGCGCCGGTTTGGGATTCGTCACCGGATCCAGCGGATCCAGCGGATCCACCGGATCTGTCCGGAAACGGTGCCGGAGGCCGCTCTGGACTCGTGCTCTTCGCGCCGGGGGTGAGGATGACGTGAGTTCCACAGAAACTCCCTCAAATGATGGACGACAATGGGAGGACGATGATGGAGGCCGATGAGAGGGGGAGGACGACGATGGGAGGACGATGATGAAAGGACGAGGGGGGGAGAGGGAGGACGAGGAAGAACAGGAGGAGGAGGAGGACGAGGGAGGAGGAGGAGGACGATGACGATGAGGACGAGGACGAGGAAGAGGAGGAGGAGGAGGACGAGGAGAAGATCGCCATCGACAGGGAAGGTAAGCCACGAAGTCCGCTGGCTCGACGACGCCCGCGTCGCCCGCGCCCGCCCCCTCACTCTTATCCGCAATTGCGGGGTGCTACGTACCAGCGGGCCCTCCTCGGATCCGCTTTCCTCGGCATGAGGGATACGGGTCCCGAGGGCCTTCTTCCAGGGACTTGCTCTTCGTCCTCTGGTCGTTTTGTTGACGGCCCCAGGGGCCGTGGAGTGCCCTGGCGGGGCCACGAGCGGCATGACCCCGTTCCCTCAGCAGCCCTTTCCTTCGCGCCCCCCCCCCCGCCCGATCCGCAGGCAGTGCCAAGGGCGGGGTCACCACTGCAAGGGTCGCCAGCCCCCCCTGAGGACCAACCTTCGAGGATCAAGGGTCGAGCAGATCTTGGGCGATCTTGGACGCTCTGGGAGGTCCTGGGGGGCCCTGGGGGTCCTGAGGAGGCCGTCCTCCTCACGGAGGCGACGACCTCCCGGCGTGGCGACCCCATCCCCCCGTAAGACGAAGCCAATACGAAGATAACACGAAATGAAGATAAATCGAGAACCTCTCGGATCCGGCGACTCTGGAGGATGCCTCTGGCGCCGCGGCCTTCTGAGAGCGTTCCGAACACTGCGGGTCCCAAGAATGTGCACCACCACCACGTCGATTCCTCCTCCCTCCACTGCCCTCTTCTCCCCCTCCTCTGGAGGTGGTGGTGGGTGGTGGTGTATATGTTTGGGCCCCGCAAACACTCTCGCCCGTGAACACGGCCAGGGGCCCCTGCGCGGCGAGCTCTCCCGTGAACACGGCCAGGGGCCCCTGCGTCCGCCCTCGCCACTGGCACGGGCCGGGCGCAGCGACCCCGCTGTCCCCCGCCTTCCTGGCGGCGGACCCGGCGGGGACACAGGAGCCAGTGACGCTCCACTGCAGGCCGACACCCCCCCGCCTTTGGCACTGCCTGTCGATGCTGGCACCTCCCGCCGCCACGGGCCGACGGCGGGCACGCGCGGCCTCGCGCCCCCCGCGGCGGGCACACCCGGGCAGCCCGCGGCCCTCGAGCCCAGGCGGCCGCAGGAGGAGGAGGAGCAGGAGAAGGAGGAGGAGGAGGAGGAGGAGGCGGAGAAGGCGGAGGCGGAGGCGGAGGCGGAGGCGGAGGCGGAGGTGGAGGTGGAGGTGGAGGCGGAGGCGGAGGGGGAGGGGGAGGAGGAGGAGGAGGAGGAGGGGGAGGAGGAGGAGGAGGAGCAGGAGCAGGAGGAGGAGGAGGAGGAGGAGACGGAGGAGGCGCGCCCCCAGCGGCGGGCGCCCCCGGGCAGCCCGCGCCACTCGAGCCCGGGCGGCCGCCGGTGCCCTCGCGGCGTGCCGTCCTGGCCGCTCGGGGGGGCCTCGTGCGGCTCCACGAGGCCTCGGCGAGCCCGAGCGCGCCGCGTGGCCGCGCGGGGGGGTCTCGGCGGACCGCGGGGCCTCCCCGCCTGGCCTGCGCCTGCCAAGCGCGGTCGCCACGAACATCGTCGTCGTCGTCGTCAACGTCGTCGTCGTCGTCGTCGTCGTCGTCGTCGTCGTCGCTCTCGGGCTCTCTGTGGGCCGAGCGCGGCGAGACACGTCTTCCGGGGAGCCCCTTCCTCCAGGACCCGGGGCCTTCATGCTTTGGCGGGAGGGGCAACAATGAGCAGCTTACCATCGGACGAGCGTCCAAGTGCTGCTCCCATGCGCGCTGGAGGCATGAGGAGCAGAGCGAAGGGGACAGCGCAGCGAACAGGCACTCCTAAGTTCAGGGGAGGACGCGAAGGGCAAAAGAGGGCGACGAAGGCGAAATGGATACTGTGCCGTGTATTAAAATGTGACGCTGCGTCGGCTTTATCCGTGTCGGATATGTCGGTTGCGTGCTGATGCTGCCGATTCTCCTCGTGCACCTATGCCCCTCGTTGGCTGCTTCCCTCCACTTCCTCCGTCTCATTGTTTGACGTTGAGCGGACCTAATGCGAATGCATATGGCGTTCCATCCTCCGCTTCCTCATCCTATTAATTGAATCGCTTCGCTCATTCCGCCGGCCTGTGATATGGCATCGCTGGTTTTTGTCTGTGTGTTCGTTGCCCATGTTGCGCTCTTGGGGGCGGGTGTCGTTCGGACGCGTTGCGTGGGGAGTTTTGATGGTGAAGCAGTTCCCTGGGGGTCGTCTCTCGATGGGGCGAAATAGAGTCGTCGTCAAGATGCTTCTTTGGGGGGCCTCTTGGGGTCTGTTGAGAGGCCGTTCGGGGGCGCCTGGGAGACATGTTTGAAGCCTTCTGGGGCTTCTTTTGGGCCTCCTGGGAGTCTCCTGGGGCCTCTTGGCGACATCTTGGGGCCTCTTGGAGGCCTCTTGGGGCCTCTTTGGGACCTCCTGGGCGCCTTCTGGGACGGAGGGCTCCATTTTTGAGTTCTCGGTATCCCTCCTGAGTCCCTCTTGGGCCCGTCTTGGGGCCTCTTGGTCCGTCTTGGGCGGCACTTGGGCCGTCTTGAGGGCTCTCTTGGGTCGTTTCGGCGCCGTCTTGGGAGCTTCGTGGGCCGTCTTGGAGCGGTCTTGGGGGCCTCTTGGGCCGTCTTGGAGCGTCCGGAAGCCGAAAAAGCCAGAACACAAAAAACATCGAAAAAACCAATGAAAATCAACGATTTTGGCCTCTTGGGGCTCTCTTCGGAGGCCTCTTGGAAGGCTCTTGGGGCGTCTTGGAGGCCTCTTGGGCTGTCTTGGGGGCCTTTTGGGCCGTCTTGGGGTCATCTTCGGCGTCTTCGAGCGCTCTTTGGGCGTCTCGGGGGCCTCTTGGGCAGTCTTGGGGGCCTCTTGGGGCACTCTGAGCGCGCTCTGGGGAGCCTGAGAGGCCGCACCCAGAAGGAAAACCATCTCTGAGTAGACTTGGTCGGGCGGCGGTCGGGCGGCGGCCGGGCGGCGACCGGGCGTTGGTCGGGGTACTTTTCGCCGGGGGACCCCCAGGGGCCGCCCCGCGCGCGCGAACTAGAAATACTGTTAATACTGTTAACCAGTTACCGGAGATCTTAGCACGCCCTGGCCCGTTGGGCCGGCGAATTATTCATCCTCATCCTCCTGCGCAATCTCCAGATCCACTTCCAACTCATCGTCCTCCGCCAGCACCTCGTCCTTCACCTGCTCCTGAGCTTCCATCTCCTTCTCCCCTTCGAACCCTCCCCTCAGATCCACTTCCCCTTCCCCCAATCTGCTCTCCCATGTGCTTTTCTCATCCTCGCCGCCCTACTCTTTCCCCGCCTCCTACTCCCATGCGCGTCCCCCTCTCGGAATATCGTTCTCCACCCTCATCGTCCAGCAAAGAACGTCTATAATCTTGCTCCTCCTAATCCTCTCCCCGCTGCTCATCCCCTGGCCTTCGCCTCCCCTTCTCTGTGCTCCCCATGCCCTCCTGGAGGAATCATCGTGCGAATGGGCTGGGGTCGATGTTGCCCGTACCGATGCCACTGCCACCGACAACTACCACTGCCACTGCTGCAACTGCTGTAGCTGCTGCTACTGCCTCTCCTGCACTGACAGCTCGTGTCTCTTCCCTTCCCTATCCTTGAGGATGGTGATCACCTTGGAGACCGGCCGCTCCTTCAGCGCCTCCGAAGACGATGCCGCGGCCAGCCAGGGCGACAGGAGAAGCGCCAGGGGCCCGAGCATGAGGGGAGCCCTCACCATCTGGCCAGGCGCCCGCAAGAGCGTGGCTGTGACCGCTGGGGCAGCCCGAGTGGCCAGTGCTTTCGGGGGATGGGGGAGACGAGGGGAGGGATGAGAAGGGAGAATGGTGAGGACGAGTGGCGGGGAAGGAGGGATGAGGAGGATGCGAAGAGGACGAGCGCCATAGACGACGAGAGCTGTAGGATGGTGAGCACGAAGAAGACAAGAGGAAACAATGAGGATGCGAGGAAATCAGGAGGACGAAACGGAGCAGGATGAAGAGGAGGCGAAGGAGGACGACAGGGGGAGTAAAAGGGAGGAGCTAGTACGAGGAGTGCGGCGGGAGGGATCGGAAGGTAAAGGACGTAACAGAAGGCTGGTGTTTCCACGTTGCTCGATTGCACTGCGTAGTTTCTCCTTTCACGAAAAAAGCACACGACACCTAAAACAAAGATACACGTGACACCAAGGAGCTGGACCACGGCCGGGTGTTTCGCCTCCAGCACGGTGTACAAAATTCACCGAACGGGTGGGGTACAGCTGGGCGTTTTATACATCATTCCGTAAATCACGTGATTATGAACTTGCACCACAAGGCCCTGGATGAATTCATAGCCAGCACACGAGAAAGAGCCAGAAGGTAGACGCGGCCGAAGAGACAAGGAGGGAGGACGACGTCGAGGAGAAGAGGTGGGAGAAGGAGGAAATGTACCATCTGAAGACGAGATGAGGCGATGGGGCAAACAACAAGTGAGGGGGAGGATACCTGGAGGAAAGGAGAAGAGGAGGATTCCGGCGGGAGGGATCGGAAGGTAACATAAAGGACGTAACAAAAGGCTGTTGTTTCCACGTTGCTCGATTGCACTGTTTAGTTTCTCCTTTCAAAAAAAAATATCACGGCAAAGCCACCTAACAGCGATGTGTAGAAGCATAGCTGGAAACATTGCCTGTGGTATTCATGTAAGAGTGCTGTTGTGGAATTCTGGTGTTCTCGCAGTCGCATTCGGATTCGCAGTGGCAGTCGCAGTGACAACATCAGCGGCAGTCGCAGTGGCACTGCCAGTAGTTGCAGTAGCAATAGCTACACTAGCAGCAGCAACAGCAGCAGCAGCAGTAATAGTAACAGTAGTAGTAGCAGTATAAGTAGTAGTGATGGTAGTAGTGGTAACAGTGAAGTAGTAGTGTGTGGAGTGAACGAGTAGGAGTGGAAGAGCACGAAATGGCCTACAGTTGGCTCCGGGCATCCAAAATGTGGCCCGGGAGTGGAGTTCTGGGAAGTGGAAGAGCACGAAGTGGCCTACGGTTGGCTCCGGGCATTCAAAATGTGGCCCGGGAAGGGTGTTCTGGGAAGTCCAAGAGCACGAAGTGGCCTACAGTTGGCTCCGGGCATCCAAAATGTGGCCCGGGAATGGAGTTCTGGGAAGTGGAAGAGCACGAAGAGGCCTACAGTTGGCTCCGGGCATCCAAAATGTGGCCCGGGAATGGAGTTCTGGGAAGTCGAAGAGCACGAAGTGTCTTACAGTTGGCTCCGGGCATTCAAAATGTGGCCCGGGAATGGAGTTCTGGGAGGTCGAAGAGCACGAAGTGAGTGACTGTTTGCTTAAAACGAGCCCGGCCCTCGCCTGTCCGGCTCCCGCCCAGACCCCCCTGGGGAGTCATCAGATGCTCTCTTTTGACCCCATTAGAAACCTATCAGTCTTCGCTGTTAGGTAAAAACACATGTAAAACAAGTATACAAGTTACAACAAGGAGCTGGACCACGGCCGGGTGTATGTGTAAAAAATACACCGAGCGGGTGGGGTACAGCCGGGAGTATTATACATCATTCCGTAAATCACGTGAGAAGAACTTGCACCACAAGGCCCCGGATGAATTCATAGCCAGCACACGAGAAAGAGCCAGAAGAGAGACGCGGCCAAAGAGACAAGGAGGGAGGACGACGTCTGGGAGAAGGAGGAAATGCAGCATCTGAAGACGAGATGAGGCGATGGGGCAAACAACGCGTGAGGGGGTGGATACCTGGAGGAGTTGAGAAGAGGACGACGGGAGGAGGAAGCGGAGAGCAATGATGAACAGTGCCAAGAGGAAGAGCAGAGTAAAAAAAAGAGGAGAAGACGGATGACACAGCGGAGGCGAAGAGGCGGTGATTACGGAAAACGACGACGACGCGGACAGGAGCCACCGGAGGCCTCTGGGTGACCTTCCACGGCCTCCAGAAGCTTTGGGGGGACCTGCAGGAACCTGCCTCCGTGCACGGGCCTTCGGGGACCTCCAGTAGCCTCCTGAGGCTTTGGGGGGAAGGTGAGGAGAAGGCGAGGAGAAGGCGAGGAGGCCAAGGGAAGCCAGGAGAAGGAGAGGAGCAACATCGAGGAGAAAGAGCGAGGAGGAAGATCGGGGATGGGCGAGGAATGGGCGAAGACGAGGCGAAGAGGAGCCAGGAGGCGGACGTCAAAGAAGGTCGCCCAGGCCCAACAGCCTGCTCTTGCGGGCTCCCGCGTCTCGCTCGGGGCCGGCGGCGCGCGACGCTTCAGTTCAGTGGCGGGCTGGGGTGGCCGCCCAGCCCCTCCGCTCAAGGCGGGCCCGCGAGGCTCGTCAGGGCACTCCCTCGGATCGAGGGGGGAACAGAAGGGGGTGTGCGAGAGGGGGGAAAAGAGGAGAAGCAAGACCGGGAGAGGAGGGGGGCAGATGGGACAGAAGGATTTGTTTAGCATCCGAGAATGAGCGCTGCCCGCATGCACCGCATTGCTTGGCGAAACCAGCCAGGGCCTGAGTGCGCCGGCCGCGAAGGAGAAGCTCACCTCCACGCGCGCGGCTGGGAACGCGGGGCCGAGGTAAGACACTCAGGAGGCGAAGGGTGAAGCGGACCGCTCGGCAGCTGCAACATCCCGTTGGCACCCTTACCACGGTCACCACCCTACCTTCTTGGACTGGCCCTCGCACGAGTGCGTAGGGCCCCATCGATTGCCGTCCGTCAGCCGCAGGTGCTGCGGCCATCACTCACGTCGATCTTGGCCCCATCAATCGGGAAGTCGGTGCCAGGGTGGATGTATGAGACCACCTCAGCGGCCACGCAGCAGTCCTCCAGCACGGCCATCTTCTCGTTGCTCGAAGTGGCGAAGCGCAGCGTGAACTCCACGTCCTCCGCGCTCACGTGGCCCTCAGCATGCTGTGTCGGGGGGGGGGGCTCCGTGCTCACGTGGCCCTCAGCATGCTCTGTGTCGGGGGGGGGGACCCCGCGCACGAGTCTCTCGGCCAGCGTCAGCGGCAAGCCGTCGTCCTGCAACGCCCTCGCACAGCTGGCAAAAGAACACGGCACCGCACGTGCACGTCAGGCCTCGGTGTGGTGGCGGAGCCTCCCAGCAGCCCGAAGCAGGCTCAAATATCGGCGACTCGGCGTCCTCGGAAACATTGAACAGCTCAGCCCGGAGATCGCACGCCGCAGCCAGGTCCGCCGCCAGCGGTTGGCCCTCGACCGCCGCCGCCACTACGACGAGGGTGCCCCCGTCATACGAAGACGCCCTCCAACGACTGCGGCGCCAGTACGCCGCTTTCCAGCCGAAGCCCATGCTGCGCTACCCTAGGCGTCGCCGTTCAACAAACAGTCGCGCCCCAGGAGCAGCCGAGTGTAGCCCAACGTTGCGACGCAGCTCGTGCAGCCACGGAGGCGCCTGCCCCGCAACCGAGGCCTCCAAGGCGGGAAGCATGCGAGCAGCCACCTCGCAGTCGCCGAAGAGGATGGAGAGCGCCTCCTCGGCCCCCGTGCCAATGCGATCCGCGACTTCAGCCTGCCGATGCAGACTGGCGACCAGGTAGTGCGCGGCAGCGTGTGCGCCCGCAGCCACGCGCAGAACGCAAGCGGCACCCGTCACGTACGCCACCGAGCGCGCCCATGTGAAGCTTGAGCGCGGACTGGCTCAAGCCAAAATCGCTACGGGCGAGAGGCGGGAGGAAGAGAAGATGATGAGAGCGGCCAGAAGGGAGGCGTAGGATGAGAGGATGGGCGGATGAGCGAGGAAAAGCCGAAAGGGAAGAGCAGAGGAAGAGCAGAGGAGAGAGGAGAGAAGAGAGGGGGGGATGAGTAGGGGCAGGGCGGAAGCAGGTGGAAATGGACGGCGGAGGGCGGAGCACTCCATTCCCCTCCCTTATTATTTCTTCCAATCAGCCTGCCAGTTCCCCCACCATCCTCCTCTTCCTTGCCCCCCCTCTTCCACATCTCTTCCATCCCCCGCGTACGCGGCCCCTTGTAGTCCTGGCCACTCCGCGTGAGGGAGACTCGTGGCCTCCTGCACTGGCCCTTGGAAAAACAAGCCCGGCACTCAGCACTGTAAGCGCCCTCCTCCCCCCAGCTCCTCCATTTTCCTCCCCCCATCCCTTCCCATCCTCCGTGCGGCCCCATCACTCCTTCCCCTCCGTGCCCCCCCCCGTCTCATCCACCCATCGTCCATTCCTCCTGCTACCCCCTCTCCACTCCGCCTCCCTCTCACTCCTCCTGGGGCCCCCCCCCGTGGCGGAGCGGGGCGCAGGCGTGCTCCGAGTTGGGCTGGTCACTGACAGGCTCGGCGCGCGCTGTTCTGGACATCGCCTCGCGCCGCGCGAGCCTGTGGCTCCTCCCGGAGGGGAATCTCTACTACGGCATACTCGTCCGCGCCCGCTCGGTCCTAGGCCTCTCGTGGGCTCGTGCATCCCTCGCCCTGCTCGACGCCTGGTCTTTCCCCGACTGACCTGCGCGGCGTGCTGGCCACGGGGACAGCGCCCTGCTGCAACACAAGGAGGCGATCCGCACTGGGCTAGCGAGTCGGAGTGAGTTCGTGCTCCGTGCCCGCCAGTCGTCCCAAATGTGCGCGTTGTCCCCCCTTGTCGCCGGGGCCAACGCCACGGCCAGACCTGGCCCGAGCCTTGGCCCAGGCAATTCCGGGCGCAGTCTGGGCGATAACGCTCGTGATCGCCTCCGCCCTTCCCCCCCGATCACGTCACGCTGGTATCCCCACGTGTCGCAAGGAATCTTGCAGGGCTTCCAGAGAATCTCAAGGGTTTCCCAAGAATCGGTCGTCGTCGCTGTTGTCCGCGACTGGGAAGCCGAAAAAGCGATAACAAAGCCACAAACCCTCGTATCTCGAGCCTCGGCACATCCAGCCGCCTGCGGAAAATGCCGCCACTGTGCCAGCGCAGCGTTGAATTGCATGCTGGGTGGTTCTACCGAGTTCTCTGGACAGGCTTGGTGGAACCATCCTGGGCCAGTCTGGGAAGAACCAAATTGGCTTGAGTCAAATTGGCTACAGATCGTTTCTCCTCTTCTTCGCTCGGCCTCCCTGTCCTTCCTGCTCGCGCTTCTGCTGCTGTTCCTTCTTTTTCTTTTCAATCACTTTTTTCCTCCTCAGGAGGCCGAAACCCGCCGTGATGTGATCGGGGGGGGCCCCCCCCCGATCACACCCGTTATCGCGGGCAATACAAAAACAGACTCCTGGACCGCGCGTGGCCTCCCCGAGGCGCCCTCTCGCGAAGCCGCGGCCCGGGCCATTCTCAGCGTGGTGCCAGGAGAACCAGGATGCCCCTGGGCGGCGTCCTTGGCCCAGCGGCGTGAAGAAACGGCGGAAGCCTTATGGCGAAAAAGTCTGCCCGGCATCCCTCCTGGCCCTCCCTCCCGCCCCCCTGCCCCCAGCAGCCACGCCGGTTGGTCCTGGGCCGGGCTCGGGCTGGTTGGTCCTGGCCGGGTTTGGGGCGCGGGCTCAGCCAGGGATGCCTCCTCCCCCAGGGTGGTTCCCTCCCCCCTCCATTGCCGGAGTCTCGCACTTGCGTCTCCTCGCCGTGCGCTGACATGTGCGGTTGGGGAGCCGGGCTGAGCCCCAAGCGCGGGCAAGCGTACGCTGTCGGCGGCCGCGCTGGGTCCGCCCCACTCCATGCGGTCAGGTCGAGTCGCCTGTCTTGCTGTCAACTATTCGAACATATTCCAGCAGAGGGCCTCCGCCTGGTCGCTGCAGGGTCGCTTGCGTCGCCCTCCCCTGGTCTCGCTGCCCCTGGCACGAATGAAACCACGCCCGAGGTCTCCGCATGCCGCCCCAGCGGGAGGGACGCCAGCCAGCCAGCCTCCGTGCGACCCCATTCCCCCCTTCCCCTCGCTGCCCCCCCCCTCCCCCCCCTCCCGCCATCGTCCATTCCTCCTGCTCCCCCCTCTCCACTCCACCTCCCTTTCTCGGGCCGGGCGAAAGGGGGGGATAGCAAAGGGGGGGCTTGAGAATCAGCTCGCGTAGTTGACTTTACCGGCGCCTCCCGGCGCCGGGAGGCGCCCATGTATCGAGGAATGGGCCCGGCGGCGGGGCCGAAACCAGCTGCATGCAGCAGATGTCGTACCCCCCCTTCCCCCAAACCCCCCCTTTCCGCCCGACCCGACTTCCACTCCTCCTCCTGGCCCTCCCGCGTAGCCCATCCCTGGCGGCGGCGGGCCGAGGCAGGCCACGGAAACACGTGCGCGCGCCCTCCTGCGGCGGGGCCTGCTCGCTTGCAGCCGAGATCGATCGCGCGCGCGCGCGCGCGGAGGCGCCTGCAGCGATGGGGCTCCGCCGAGGAGGCGTCTGGGGGGGGATCAGGAGAATGAGGATGAGGGAACGAGAGGGGAGGGAAGGAGGTCGAGGATGAGGATGAGGAGGATGAGGAGCAGGAGGTGGAGGTGGAGGTGGAGTTGGAGGAGGAGGAGGAGGACGAGGATGAGGAGGAGGAGGAGTGGGCCATGAGAGAGGAGAGCAAGGACAATGGGAACAATGGCAGGTCGGAGGGGGAGGATGGAAGAGGGTCTTCGATGGTCTTCGGAGGTATTCGGCCAGTCCAGGGGAGGAGAAAACGATGATCAGGAAGAGGATGTTGACTATGAGAAACAGGACGAGAGAATGATAGTAAGGAGGGAAGGGGAAGGAATGCGGATGGATGAGCAAACGGGGAGGGAGTGACAGCAAGATTATGAGCACGAGAGAAGTAGGAAGACCAATAACACGATGGATAAAAATCAACGCGTGCACCCCTCCTCCTTGCCCACAGCTGCACTCTGGAGGACCCCCACTCATGTGCCAGGCTCTCTCTCTTCCCTCCGCTTAAGAGGAGAGGTGGCAGGAGACGAGGACGGAGTTGGGCAAGAGCAAGCCAGAACGCATGGAAGTCCCACGCTTGCCAGTTTGTCCTCTCCGTCCCGGACGTATTCTTACAGCTCATCGCCCCTGGACCGCCCGGAGAAGACGCGGCAAGGGACACGCTCGCATCCCCCAGCTCGCCAGGTCCACTCCACCCGCCACCCCTCGCCATGTGTGTGACCCCCTCCCGTTGCAGGTGCTCCCGTACACACTACATGACCACACCCACGCTGACTTGCAGAGCTGAACTCACCACGTGGATGAACAAGCAGTGGACCGACATGCAGTCGGTCGCGGGGAACTGGCAACAAGAGAAAGCGTATGTGACATGACGTTCTGATATTATCATGCTGTCGCTCGCGCCGACGGCGTTCGGGATGCAGGGTGGACCGATGAAAGCCGCGGGTCACGAGAACGCTGGCGTTCAGGACAGCCTTGCGATTGCAATGTTCCTGAAGCTCAGCCCGCATGCTTGCCCAACAACTTATGAGGTCTATCGGCATGGGCCTGAACAGTAAGAGCCTGCCAAATGCTCAACTACGGATCTACTCATCTGCTCCTCGCAACCCCTGCGAGACATCCCTCCCAGAATAAAAGAGACCACGACTCCCCCAACTGTGGCTGATCTGCCTTCCGCCGTACTCAGTACTCGCTCCTTGTCTGCCGGCCTGACGCAGTCGGGTCCTGAGAGAAACGAGCCCCCCAGACCCTCCTCAGGGAACACAGTTTCTTCATCCTGAGCCGCTCTTGCTGACCGTGCTGAAAGAAACGAGCCCCCCAGGCCCTTCCCAGGGAAAACAAACTCTTCATCCTGAACCGTTTTTGTTGACCGTGCTGGCGTCCGGGGAGGGCCCTGGGAACACAAAAACTGCCCAAACCCTGGAGAACCTGTGTCCCTCCAGACCATGCTCCTCCATGGCGAATCTGCGGCTGTACCGCCTCTCGCCGTGCTTGTTGTTCGCTGCTGGTCTGGCTGCCCTCGATGCGGCGAACCCCCGCGACGGACGCCCCCGGCCGCGCGGCGGCGGCGTGACTGAGCGCTCACGAGGTCTGCAGGAGCTCCTCGAACTTCGCTCCCGAGAGGATATCCTTCGCCTGCCTCAGGGCCTGGACCTCCTGTGGGAGGGCCCCGGGATGTATTCAGCAGACGTCCACGGCGACAACCGGCCGAACCGAACGCACCGAATGCAGCCCACAAGAACGCAGCGGCGCTGCAACTGGCCCAACCGAACCGAGCGCATGTCACCGACCGCGTCGCAGCCGAGTCGCGGACTCCCCTGCTCCTGCCACCGAGCCTGGATTGTAGACCTCTCGCGCCCTTCTGCCGTCTGCGCCCCCAGCGGACGGAAGCGTCTCAGTACTGACAAATTGCTGGCCTTAGGCTACCAAATCAGGGCCTGGACCCCCTCCTCCCTCCTCCCTCTCCTCCCTCCTCCCCCTCAGGGGCGCACTGACCCGGGTCAATCCAGACCGGGGTCAGTCAGGCCTTCCAGGGTCCTGCAAGATCCTGCGGGATCCTGCAAGGTCCTGCACCCAAGCCCGGGTCAATGCGACCCTGGCCCTGCAGGATCCTGCAAGATCCGGCGCTCTGACTGACCCAGTGACTGACCCCCGTTTGCATTGACCCCCGTCTCTGAGGCCCCGAACCCCCCCTCCTGCGGCAGGGCGCCGGCCCTACACCAGCGCAGATCCTGGCAAGACACCACGCCCGCCCCAAAGATGGGTCTGGCCAGGACCGGCGCTGGGTCGAGTGCAGACGGCGGGCTCGCGTCGCGGCAGCGCCGGCGATGGTGTCTTGCACCGGGTACATTCGGGGCGTTGGCCTAGAAGGAGCCCTAGAGAAGGAACGAGGTCCCGTTCTTCCAAAAATGGTGAGCATTTTTTTATTCTGGGTTCCGGCTTTAGGCGCATGGGGGGAGGGGGGGGGGGTCCGGCTCTCGGCCCGTAGTCAATGCCTCCGATTGAATCATGTGGGGAATCCTGTGGGAGATGCCGATGAGGGAATCCTAGGGGGGACCCCCCATGGGGGAATCGCGCAGCGGCTGCGCGGGGCTGCGCCAAGGCTATGCGTGATTTGGCAAGCCTGTGCCAGAATTGCTAGGGATCACCTATTCATGATTCCACGAGGCCGTCGCTGGCATAACAGGGGAGGGCCCAGCCGGAGGCATGCTTTCTGGCGATCGGGTCCGGCGCCCCTGAGCCCTTTCGTTGTGGTTCCAGAAGAGTAGCACGATAAAATGCGCACAGTTGCACACATCAGCGATTCGAGTTTCTACCGGGGGAGGGGGGGGGGGCGCCGGCCCCTGTAGTTCGTCCGATCGATTGAAGCAGGTGCCAAAATCAGCCCGGAACTTCTCTACGGGGGGGGGGGGAGGGGGGGGGGAGGGGCGTTCCCGCCGAAAGCAAAAAAAAAAGAATGCTCACATGTTGAGCAGGAAGGCGCTGAACATTGATTGGGTCTCCGCCCATGCCCCCTCCGTAAAGTTGGACCTGGCATTCCAGAACTACATACCTTCAACGGCCGATGGGCACCGCAGTTCGCGTCCCCCGAGGGCCGCGGGCGGGAGGGACACCCGGGCTGGAGGAGGCACGGCCCCAGACCCCGTTCCTGCGTGGCGGGGCCTCGCAGGGGCGCGTTGGGGGCGCCCCCCAGAGGGGCGCGGCGGGAGCCATCGAGGATGACAAGCACGAGCGGGAAACGGCGGGGGCGGAGGAACGCGATGGGAGGGGGGAGCGAGAAAGGGGAGGGGAAGGGGAAGGGGAGATGTGATAGGGGATGGGAGGGGGGAGCGAGAGAGGGGGCGGCGGCGATGTGATGAGGGGAAGGGGAGACGGACAACGAAGAACGAACAACAAACAAACCAAACATAAAACAAACAAACAAGCATCAAACAAGCGAAATGGCCTGGCCTCCTCCTTCTCATTCTGCTCTTCCCTGCCCGATTGGAGAATTCCAGCGTGCCTCGCCTCCTGCGGCTGCTCCTCGGGGCCCCGGGTGATCATGGTCCTGGTCCTAGTTAGTCCCTCCCCATTCTTGTCCTGCTCTGCAGATCCCCCCCCCCGCCCCCCCCCCCCCCCCACCTGGGCGATTCCGAAGACCCTAAACCCAAAAATGTCTTTCCCCAATCAAATATTGCCTCTGTAGGGGTCCTAGTGAAGTCATCTGGTTAGGTTAGCCGCGTCGCCGATTTCGGCGGCACGCCCGGGTCCCCGGGCGCCCCGATGCCCGGGTGCCGGGGTGCCCGGGTGCCCGGGTGCACGCGTGCCCAAGTACCGGGGTGCCTGGGTGCCTGGTAGCCCGATAGCCCTATAGCCAAATCGCCCTGTAGCCCTATAGCCTTATAGCCTCATAGCCCTAAAACCCAATGGCCCCATAGCATTTCGCTCTATACATACGCCTATCCGAGAGGATCGGGTACCGCCCCAGGGGCGGTACTGGCAAAAGGACCATATTTCGTACATGATACATTAGCAACAACATGCAAGTTGCCACGTCAGCACTCTAAGAATCGCAATCCACGGTGATCACGGATGACAGAGAGGAGGGCATGAGGTTGGGTACTTCGCCAGGCAACTCGTTTTGTCTTCTGTGGGCAACGCAGGTACAACGTACGCGCGACGAAGCACGTCGCACTTCCGCACGATCTTCGAATCTATGTTCGTGACCGTTTGGGCGTTTGGGCTGGGCGCGAGGACTCCTCAATGACGGGGTTGGCTCGCGGTGGGGGTAGAATATTGAATCATCGTGCATTGCGATTTTCAAAACGAATTCGACGTCCGTGTTTACCTCCATCGACGTCGTCGTCGTCGTCGTTCTCATCCTCATCCTCATCATTTTTCCTCCTCCGAGGTCCGTGATCCTTCATGGAAGCGGTCGAGATCGACCGCGCCCCTCACATGTCCATCCACCACTACCGTCCCTCGACGGTCCGATGCGCCAAACGCGCACCGACGAGCGTGCGCGGCGAGCCGATACCGTCCCTCGACGGTCCGATGCGCCAAACGCGCACCGACGAACGTGCGCGGCGAGCCGAGCATAGAAACCGAACGAATTCAGAACACGTCGATTTCGATCTCTCTCTCTCTCTCTCTCTCTCTCTCTCCCTCTCGTTTTTGTTTTCTCTCTCTCTATTTCTCCCTGTGTCTCTCTTTATCCCTTTTCCCTCTTTCGGTTTTTGGTTAGATCTCTCTCTCTCTCTCTATATTTCTCCCTCTCTTTGTTAATTCTATATGTTTGTTTGTTTTGTTTTCTCTCTCTCTCTCTCTCTCTCTCTCTCTCTCTCTCTCTCTCTCTCTCTCTCTCTCTCTCCTCTCTCTCCCTCATCTCTCTCTCTCTCTCTCTCTCTCTCTCTCTCTGTTTCTCTCCCCATGCCCCTATCATCCTATCTTTTTCTCGTGTTCTCTCTCTCTCTCTCTCTCTCTCTCTCTGCAGGGTCGGCGGTCGTCCTCGCCAGCCCCGAGCAGGCTGCGCATGCAGCAAAAATAAAAGAAGCTCTTCGGGCCCCGCGGAGGCAGGGGCAGAAGGGGAGAGGCGGGATAGAGGGGAAGGTAGGTGGAGGGCGAGAGGAGGAAAGGGAAGGGATGGGGAAGGTCAAGAAGGGTAAACAGGGATAACAGGAGTCAGCCGACTATCACCATCACTTTGAGCACACTTGAAACGTGCCCTTCTCGCGCCTATCCTTCCACATGCTGTTCACGATGATCAAATACCTCTGTAAAACTCGCAGTGATATGGTGTTCCTGTTGCACCCTTTTCCTATGGCGGCCATGATGCCCATCAAATCCTCATCCGCGAAACAATGGTGAAAACGAGGGTTCACTCGATTCGATAAGTCATCCACGTGGTGGGATAAATAATGGCATTTGGGTCGTATTTTCCATTGGTGTTTTTTCTCTCGCACAGCCTCGTCGGCCAGCCACTGCAAAGAACTAAGAAACATATTTCCAGCGTGTTGGGCTCTCTGGATTTCGCCATCAGTTAGCCATCTCCCAGCATTGTCAAATATATATATATATATATATATATATATATCATTTCTGCAAGCGCCCATGCATTTGAAGCCCTCACTTGTGAGCGTTTCGTCCCCGTGTTTTTCTCGTAAGCAACGTCGGCGGCGTACGAGATCAGCACCTGGGGCGTTGCGAGGGGGAATCAGATTCGCTCCTCCCCCTCCTCCTCCTCCGACTCCTCCTTCTCTTTTTTGTCCCCCTATCCTTCTTCTCCTCCTCCTCCTCCTCCTCCTCCTCCTCCTCCTCCTCCTCCTCCTCCTCCTCCTCCTCCTCCTCCTCCTCCCCCCCCTCCTCCTCGCCCTCTTCGCATGGGGGCGGGGCGCGGTTTTTGCTGCACAGCTGCCAGCTGCGCCTTGATAGAAGCAGCTTTGAAGCTTGAAGACAGGCTCGGGTAGTTCGACTTGTCTGCCCTGCCACACGTAATTGCTGACAAGGAAACTGCAGGTGCCGACGCGCCCTTCTTTTTGCACCACACTTTCTTGAAATGGTAAGACATGGCCTTGAACTGGTCGCACTCATTCAAGCCTGGCCAGAAGAGCCCACCTTCGCACAACTCGACTAGAACCGAGGCCACGCAATCTCTCGCGAGACCGAGGTACACATCGTGCATCCAATCCATAAGACAGTTTGATAAATGAAAGCCTGGCACCATCACATATGGGGATAATGTTTCTTCAATTTGCAAGTATTCATCGTGTGAAATCTGAGTGTCTCGCCAGGGTGCATTCGCAGAGAAATCAGCGTATGTCAAGCGCTGCGGTGATTTAGGAAAGGGCTGAACTGCGAAACATCGCTCGCAACAGAATGTCGAATTATAGTTCCTACAAAATCTGTGGACCTCCACTCGGGCTTTCCGATCTCCTTTTATCCCGCAGTATACTGCAGCATATCCGCCTGCAATCTCTTTGTTCCGGAGCCCATGCCGGGCAGATTTGATGTCAAAAGTCTCTCCTTGAAATCCTCTCTCTGGATAGCGACCCGTTACCCGCACTTTCTGAACCCACGCTGTGAATTCGGCAATTTTCGCAATCACGCCCAATCGAATTGATTTTTCTGTCATCATATAATACGGTATAACCAGCATCGGAAATTTAGTGTCCCACGTG